ATCAGCGAGAGGGTTGCTGCTCATCATTTATTGATAACATCGATATTGGAATGTTGATAGTATTACAATATCGTTTGTTAGCAGTTGCAATATTGCTTGTTTGCATCAATTGTTTGCAGTAAATAAATGAGTTTTTTTTAGGGTTAAATTTCACATGGCAATCTCTGTTACAGTTTTACTGAAATCAGTTGTTCTAAGATCAAAAAAATAATACTTTTTGTTAAGATATGAGTGTAAAATTGAATCATCAGCAGAGCTGATGATTCAACTTTAAATATAACTTATATCACTTTAAATATAAGGTTGTCAAGAAGATCAATAATGTAAATAAGAAACAAAACAGGATAGAACCATGAGATTTCTTAGAATACTTGGACCAAAGTTAGAGGGGTCATTTACTCCAAAGAATTAAAAAACTGAAACCACTGATGCAATTTTCAAATTTTCCGAGAGAATTGAAGAAAGTTCTAAAAAGATGTTGAATCGGATATTGATGTTGAATCAAGACAAATGTTTTACTTGAACAGGCTTCTGTATTTTTTTTAATAGTGATTTTTGATGATTAAACAGTTTTACAAAAAGCAAAAATACTGTAAATTATTCCTCTAGATTGCACAAAATATTTGATCTTTCTTGCCTTAGGTTCATATTTTATTCTTTATTTTATACCTTGAAATTGAAGTAACTTTAATAAAAATAAAAAAAAGTATTTTTATGATTTATATTATTAGAAAAGTGTTCATTTATATGTAATTTTATGAAATTTTTATTTAGACATAATAATAAGTTTAATTAAGTTTTTCATAAAATTACATTCCTACCATTTCACATGAGTTTTTAATTTTATCTGTTTTCATTCTGAGCCAATAAAGAACTGTAAAAAAAACTTTTTAACAGTTTCAAAAATAGCTATAAATTAGGTAAATGTAACTGTCAGTAGTTTGAATTATCATTACTTAAGTTATAAATTGTATATGTTCTTCCATATTTTCATTGTATTGTGTTATATATATATATATATATATATATATATATATATATATATATATATATATATATATATATATATATATATATATATATTTATGTGTGTTATATATGTTCTAATGTGTTTTTTAAATAACAACCTACAAATATTAACTTGTTAAATATTTTTGTACATTTAAATTTCTCTTTAGTAAATTAACATATATTAAAGTTAATGTGTTTTATGATTTTAGAGTCTAAAGACCTCTTGTCGCTTGTTCTTAGTAATGATATTGATAGATAAACCCTGAAACCTAGTGTTTAACTTTTGAATCATAAACTAAGAGACACAGCAAATTGGCAACTGCAAATCATTTTTTTAATTGGAAGGAAAAACATACAATAACAAACAAAATGCTTGTACTTAAGGGTAAGTTGTAATTTTCTTTTATTACACCAAATTACCAAGAAAGCTTAAGGCAAAAATTAATTGAATAAAAGTTTACCAACAAAGTGAGAAAATGGGTTCACAGAAAACTTATTACCAGAGCTAGAAAAAATGCCTTTTAGAAATAACAAAATCAAAATTTCATGACTTATTGGGTGGACACAGAAAAATCCGGTCAATTTTAAATTGAGATTTCTCTAAAACCATAAATGCTTTTTATTTCAATTTTTTTATTATTAAATGTGTTTACATAAATTATTAGAGTTTCAACTTAATTTTAAGGAACTTGATGGGTTTGGCAAGAGATCGAACTTTATAGAGGGTTGATGCCATCATTTTGCAGATTTTTTCTTTTTTCACCTTATTGGTGGCATTAATCCACTTTTTTTGGAATTCCTTTTTATTATTTGTTACTCCACCTGCCTTTCAAAGAACTCCTTTAATTATTGCCCAAAAACATCAATCCTGCGCTCTGCTTGCCACACAAGAAACTTAGGAATTTGAATATATTCAAATTGTTCATCGATAGGTTTATCTTTGTTCTCATAGTAAAATTGCTGACCAGGAAGTTGAAAAAAATCCGCCTTGCAATATGTTTCGAACACAAAATCTTGAATTTTCTTGCTAGATCTTGCTGTGACTGGTTTGGATTTCTTGCTATTGAACGTAAAATCGACTTTAACTTTTTGGATTTATGTAAAGTCAAGGAGTAGACATTATTTATTGAAATAATGTCTACTCCTTGTTTAGCTTTTTTTTAATCAAATTTTAAACAACTTTTTTTTTATCGGACTCTTTTAAAAGTGTAGTTTTTAGTTACTCTTTTAAAAGTAACTTTACTTTTATGCATTAGTGGCAAGTTTATCAGACTTGTTCGATAAAAAATCAATTTAAGTTTGAACTGCAAACAATTTTTTAATTTTATGCCACATTTTTTTTTTTCTTTTTTTAATTTTTTGCTTTTGTAAGATTTCACGGTAGCAACTGCTTGCTTTTCTTGCATGATGCTGCATCTCTTTGCCCATTTTAATGCTTTTATTTCAAGTTAAAGTCTTTTATGTCAAGTTTGAAAATAAAGTGCATCATATTTTTTGCAGCTTTTTTGAGGATAAATTGTCTTTGACTACATCACCAAAAATAGTAGTCATAAATGGTACCTAAATGTTTTCTAGAAGTTAATCTGTTTGAAACCCCTAAAAAGTTTATCTGTTTGAAACCCTTTCAGAAATGTGTTTAATTTCAGATACCATTTCAAAGAATTTTAATTTTGATAGTAAAAT